TCGAGCACCCGTCGCCTATCGATCTCGAGGTAAAGTCGCCGCCCGGAGACCAGGTTGTCAAATGTCTGGCGACTATTCCCATCGTCAGCGTCCATCGGAAGAAGCTGAAAGGGGTTCTCGAGAACCCCGTCGTCTCCTGTTCGTCTCTGCCTGCTCCCTCGCCTCGTTCCTGGTCCGGTATCGAGAGCCAAAGGTCGACCACCGTCCTCCACACGAAGGTTCCAACCCCTCGCAAGGTGCATCCCACCAAGGCAACTGGGGATGGCGTCGGAGAACGCCATCAACGTCGCAAAATCGGTCTTCGCTTCACCAAGGCGGCCCCCACCAGCTCTTCCACCAAGGGCATGAGTGGAGCCAGGAGCCACGTCCACCATTTCATGGACCGCGTCTTCCCTCACGGACACCCTGCTTCCCCAACACGGACTTGGACAACGAGCATCACCTCGTCAGCGGTGAAGCATCTCCACCCCCACGGCTTCCACAACCACGAGCACCCGGGTGGACCTCTGCCCTCGTCAACGGCAGCAGCGGGGAAGCATATCCATCACCATGGCCGACCATCGCACTCGTCGTCCTCCTCGCCCTCGCCCTCGCCCTCTCCGTCTGGCCGCTCCTCACGCCGACCCATCGCCGACGCCAAACACCCGGAAGACGCAGCCAAAAAGGCCAAAGATAAGGATTCACGGTACTTCGACGTCGTCTGGGGCGTCTTCATCGCCGGCCTCTGCTTCGTCGTCCTCATCGTCACAGCTCCGTCCGCTCTGCGCTGCGTGCGGCGGCGCTGGGCCCGCGGCCGCGGCCGCGACGCCCCCGACAGTGATGACGACTTCCCCGAACCCTACGCCTTGCAGACGTACCCGGGGGGTGTGAGGACGCCTTTGCCGCCGCCGCCGCCGCCGCCTATGCCACTTCATCACCATCAGCATATCCATCATGTCCATCATAGCCATGGCTCCGGTGATGCGGGCGCGCATTCGCATAACCCGCATGTCCTCTCTTCTGTCCCCTCCACCTTGCCGTCACCACCCCCCGCCTACTCCCCCCTATCGCGCGTCGCCGCGGAGTCTTCGACCGCGGCGCCAACTAACACAACCACGGTCCCCACTACGTCGTCCGGTCTGCCCCTGGGAACGCTTGCGGCGCCGCCGCTTACTGCTATGGCTCGCGGTGGTGGTGGTGGTGGTGGCGCGCGGACGCGGACGAACCCGTTTGCCAGGGCGGATGACACGCGTGTGGCGGATATGCTGGCGCGGAGGAACAAGGCGAATCGGGAGAGTTGGAGGGACTGGAGGAATGCGCAAGGTGTGCGCATCTGATGTAGGAGAGGGGAGTCGAGTGACGGCACGATTTCTGCCAGAAATCTTCTTGCATCTCTAGGGAGTCGGTCTGGAGATTGCTGACTGGTGAGCATTTCTGGGCGTTGGCAGTTTTGCTTTTTCCCTGGGAAAAAAAAAAAAAGTGCTTTTTCTCCTGTACTTTGAGAGAATTCGGGTGCTTTCAGTAAATAAATGAAATGAAGATTCGAAAACAAAAACCATCACCAAAACACGCAAACAAAACAAAATCGCCACATTCCACGCCCCTTTCCCACGCTCATCCTTTTTTCTTCCTGAACATAAGCAGTGCAATGGTAGTTGCGTGGTGAGGTCACAAGGAAAAGCGGAAGCAAGCAACGGAGACATTCGCGCCGCGCTCTGTGGTTCCGGAGACATTGTCGGAAATAAGCCGAACGGCGCCATTCCTCTTCCGGCCAACAAAGCCCATCCACATTCACCGTCAACCTGTCAAAAGTGTGCGAGAGAGAGTCGACTTTCAATGGGGGGGGGGGGGGTTTCGGAGGAATTTGAATGGGCTGTCTGCGGAGTTGGTTGGTTGGTTGGTTGGTTGGCTGGGGTTGAATGATGGTGGTGGTGAGGTGGATGCAGAGGTACGGTACACAGGCAAAGGTAAGGCGATTCGGTGGGATATTTAAGTGCGGCGTCTTTTGCTGTCTGTCTGTCTGTCTGTCTGTCTGTCTATCTGTCTGTCTGTAGGACGGCCTCGCTCTTCAACTGACCTTCTGAACTTCACAGTATACTCGACTTTTAAGTTGGATTGTTTCGACTCTTTCTGAATCAAACACTGCCGTCGATTTTTCCTGCATACCTATCTCCTCCTACTTCAACCCCCTTCACAAAAAAAGAAAAAAGATAAAGAAAGAAACGATGATGGACTGGCACAACCCCCAAGCCGCCGCCCGCTACAAACCAGGCGAAGAATTAACGCGGTCCTTCGCCAGCGTCCTCATAAAAAATAGCGGACTACTCGCCACAGCCACCACGACGGGCTCGACAACGGATGACGACCTCGCCGTTTTGGACAATGCGTGCGGCACCGGCATCGTCAGTTTCCAGCTGCACGCGCTGCTGCCGGGTGAGGCAAAGGCGAGGCTGCAGCTGACGTGTGCGGATGTTTCGAAGAGCATGATTGAGAGCGTTAGGCAGCGGATTGAGGATAATGGATGGGAGGGGGCGAAGGCGCAGGTTGCGGATGCGTTGGTGAGCTCTTTTTCTCCTTTTCCTTTCCTCTGACATGCCATCATCATCACCTCCATACTCCTCTTCTTCCTTCCTCACCATCATCAATCCCAACGCTCTCTTTCGCACCAAACTGACCACACGCCACAGGCCCTCCCCTTCCCCCCATCATCATTCACTCACATCTTCACCAACTTCGGCATCATCGGCATGCCCAACCCGCGCCAGGCCCTGCGCGAACAACACCGCGTCCTGCGCCCCCGCGGCGTCGCCGCCTTCTCCATCTGGCACCAGACCGGCTGGTACCCCATCGTCGAGCGCGCCATGGCACTGATCCCGCACGCACCCCCCTTCCCGACCTTCGATCGCTTCTGCGCCAGCCTAATGGCACAAGGCAGCGTCGAGGAGCACTGGACCGACGGCGGCTTCCTCGAGCGCGTGGCGCGCGAGACGGGGTTCGTTGATGTTGACCTTGAGTTGGTGCACAATGTTACGCGGCATCGTGATGCGGATGCTTTTGGTGAGCTGTATGGCGATATGCTGAAGATGGTGCTGCGGGGCTGTTGGAGTGAGGAGCAGCGTGAGAGTATGGGTGAGTTGGTCCTGCCGGCTGTTGTCAGCGTTTTGAAGAGTGATTTTGGTGATGGTGAGGTGGCGTTGGAGTGGGCGGCTTGGTGCGTTGTTGCGAGGAAAGCGGCGGATGGCTCGTAGTGTTTTTGCTTGCGTGTAGAGTGAATGTCCTCTGAGAGAATTAGCTGCGGAAAGAAGTGTTTGCTGGTTGATTCTGGAGAGTTACGTGTTGAGAGGTGGTAATGGGTTGGCCGCATGTATCTTTTGCGCTGGAATACATGTAGCGTTCTGTCAGTGCAGTCAGTCAGAGTGACATGAAATGAGAAGGCACCAATTTTTCCAGCAAAAAGAAATTCACATAGTCTCTTCGCAGCATGGAAAAGTCCATGAATCCACCCGCTATCTCTCTCTATGAAAAAACATGCCCCGTCTTCTCCACCGCCCTCCTATACGCCCCACACCCCTCACACCTCCCCAACCACTCCTCAACCCTCCTCCACCTCCCCTTCCGCGTCCCCAACCCCTTCTCCAAAATAAACCGCACACTAAACTGCATCATGACATCCGCCACGGTGACGTCGTTCCCCACCAAAAACCCCCCCTCACTCCTCTCCAATTCGCCTTCCAGCCAGCAAAAATCGTTTTCGACATTCGTCGCCATGCTGGCTTCCATTTGCGCCAGACCGGCCCGCGGTGCGTCGGCCGGGTAGTACCAGCGCGCATACGTGATGGCGAGACTGTGCAGCAGGAACGTTGCTTCGGCCGCATGGAGCCACTGCAGAACTTTGATGCGCGCGGACGGGTCGCGTGGGAGGAGGCGGTGGGAGTTGTCGTATTTGTCGCAGAGGTACCTATCTGCATTTCAATTTCCCTTCATTCCACCGCACCACACCATTTCCCGCCTCGGCTCCACTGCGACGCCATCTCCGGCGCACAGTTATTAGAGTTGGAAATGGCGAGAAGAGAAGCGGGCAAGGGGCGAGACAAAAAGTGCGAAACCAACGCACTGCGTGATAGCACCACTCTCTATCACCACGGCCTCGCCGTCCTTGAGCGTCGGGAATTTGCCCATCGGCGTGCCCACCGCGTCGCGCGCCTCTTTGGATGCTAAACCGTTTGCCATTCGGTCTGAGAATTGGACGGTGTAGTCTAGTGATAGTTCTTCGAGGAGCCATGCCGTGCGGATGCTGCGCGAGCTCTGGAGGAAGTAGAGCGTTATGGGTGGCATGGTGATGGTGCTGCTGCTGGGCACTGTGGTGTTGTTTGTTGGGGAGAGTTTCTTTGTGGTGGTGGGGGTGGTGGTGTAGATTAGTTGGAGGTGTGGTGGGGAGCGTGAGGTTCGTGAGCGGGGTTTTGTAGGTGTGCCCTTAGTTGGTTGGTTGGTGGGTTGGTTATACCCGCTGCGTCATCGGCGGTCTGGACTGCAGGGTTTCCTTCTGTTCTTGCAGGGAGTTTAGTACCGGTGGGTGTTGGACAGTCACTTCGGAATTTTAAGTTTGTTCCTTAGTGCTGAAACGTAAAATTCTTATCATCATCTCCAGGTGGGCAAAGTCTCTCTGTCACTCTGACTGATCAGTTTGCTTGTCATATTGTCAGTTTTTGCCATCCAGAATCGAGGAACATCGTGCTATAATGCAGCTCCAAGTTGATGTGTTTTGGGACAATTGTGGGTTATAATCCCGGATTTTCCTCGTTAAACTTGCTGCTAAGGCTTACTTGACTTGAGAGAAAAGTGAAGAAAAAGAAGACGGCAAAAAAAAAAAAAAAAAAAAAAAAATTGGAAAAATTTCAGGGTGAATTTCGAGCTATTGAGACCAAGATGCGGTCATCCCTTAAAACTAGCGCAATATATATATGAAATAAGCCACTTGTTTTTCAACAGCTGGTGAATAGGAGCTCAAGCTTCCACAAGCTGCCCGGCTAGCTCAATCGGTAGAGCGTGAGACTCTTAGTACACGCCCTCAAAGGCGTTGCAGGCATCTCAAGGCTGCGGGTTCGACCCCCGCGTTGGGCTCAATTCCCGACAATTGTCTTTTTGACTTCTTTTGCCCTCCATCTGGTGATGGTGTTGAGTTTTGGTGTTGAGGGACCTAACAGCAATGTTGGGGGAGACTACACAATCATGAACCTCTTTTTTTTGGTTCTTAGGGAAAGAACAGACGTCAAAGAGATCACAGGATCACTTTCGACCTTATACTATGCATTTCGGGTGTGCGCCGTCCAAGTGATACCCGAAAGCAAATTTTCCCATTGGCCGGTGATGACTCGGGATGCGGTGCTTTTCCGCCCATTGCCGCATGTGGCTAGCTTCCCACGAGGTCGAGACCCTGCCGAAATCTAAATACAGTACCTTTCTGCTTCGTCGTCGCATTTGCAGTAGACTTCAATGTAGCAGGATTTACTGTCAATTCTGCTTCAGTAGACTTTTGCAAATTTTCGAGGACTTCTGAATGTGTACGCCTTTTTATCGAAATTGACTTTCGCAAGGGGCTTCATGCAGATGAACTACTACTGCCTCGGGAACTGAAGGAGAAAATGCATCTGTCGAATTCCAGTCCTACACAACGTTTAAGAGCGTAAACCGAAAACCCCTCCATGTGAGATTCACGAGTTTACTTTCAGATAAATCTGCTCGGCCTTCACGCATCGCAGATGCGAAGCTCATCAATGCATAATTAGAAGCTATCCTTTTTTTAATTGGGGTTCCGCAATCAAACGCCAATACATCAACAACGGGGGACAGCTTCCCACTAGAAGCCAAATCGTAGAATGGACGAAAGTATGGAGACTACTGTAGCAAATGTAGAAGAGGTCCCTTCGAACACGGTAGAAGTACACCCAGAAAAAGGCAAGTCGTCGACCAACTTAGAAGCTTTCCGCGGCAGCCTTCACATGATCCAGTCAATGTGTGACTTCAGTCGCTTCAGGCCAAATTGACTTGGTCGTAGTTAATATTGCCGCGAGAGCGCGGAGCGAATCCGAAAGCGAGCTTTTCTGCCCGCTAGTCGTGCAGTGCCGTAGAGGGTCGATATGTTATGCAAGATCTCGGAAAATCTTGGACTACTGTGCCGCTCGGCTTGCAACTTTCACCGACCATTCTCTTGACGCTGGAAGCCTCCCAATGCTTCGTCGGGAAGAGCAGGTACCGTTGTGGCACCGCTGTGAGGGAGAAGTCTCGAGTTTTGAAGAGACGGACGTGGAATCCGGGATCTTCTGCTGAATCAAAATCAGGACGGCCAAGAGATTGACGCGGATGGAATTAGAGATGGTGTCGCAGAAACCGGCAGACGCGAAAGAATAACTCAGGGCTGCGGGCCGCGTTCCGCTCCGAGCTTCGGACGGGCATTCCCGCTGACGTCACATCGTCGTACCTGGGACGCCGCGACGTGTGTTAAGTTGCCCTGCAGCTGTCAAGAAACCTGCAAACAAACCCTCGTCAGCTCTCGGATCATGCGACTGTTTGCTCGGCTGAGAGTCTGCTAATTCATCCACTTCCTCATACCTCTCCAGCATGCGACCTCTTCAACACGCGTTCAAATCGCTAGCGCAAGCGTCTCCAGCTGCGCATCATCTCCTTTCTCCTTCGCGCGCGAGAATATCCAGTCTCCAGACTCTGAGACTGCGGCCATGCTCAGTCAGATCGTACACGGCTACGCCGCTGCTCCGAGTGAAGGAAGATGTCGCTTCCCACTCGATGCCCGCCGTGGAGCTGAACAACAATGTCACCCGCGAGGAGGAAGAGGACTATGAGCGCAAAGTGGCAGGCGACAAGAGCAAGCAAGTGCGGAGACCATGGCATAGAGAGGGGTCGGATAAACCACCTGTCGCGCGTCAGAGATCTGCTGGGGCCATGACCAAGGGTATCCTTTCCTCCTGTGCCTATTGACCACAATGACTGACAACCAAGTTGAAAGGAAAGCTTCTCACCACACCCAGTCGCATGCTCAAATTAATCCTGCCCCTGACGACCAAAGACCATAACACCGACCGCAAAGATGTTGAGCCTCTGGCCCTGCTGGTACATCCACAGCAACCGCTATCCTACCTTGAGCGTTTAATACAATCAGAGCTTCCCACAATGAAGAAAGATGGAAAGGAAAAGATTCCAGCCGTCTACTTCCGCGCGGAAGACTCGACCCAAGATAGCATGGAGCCTGCAAAGGAGACGCCAGTAGAGCTTCCCGAGGCTGAAGCCAAGAAAAAGGCCCCAGAGCCTGACGACATAGAGGGTGGTGATGAGGTTTATATCGACGGAAAAATGCAAAGGACTGGAAAGTTGAATCGCAAAACAAGGGAAGAAGCAAACCGTCTGCGTGGAGGGGTTGGGGAGGGCGGTGTTGAATCATACTCGGGGCTTGGCCATGAAGCTCGGTCAGACACGACAAGAGAGAGACGGTTCGTCCGCTGGTCAGCTTCGACTGAGATTGGCGACTTTATCCGCGATGCGGCGCGTGGACAAGAATTTGCGGTCGAGATTGAGGGCGCACCGTATGATATCCGCGTGGGAGTCCCCAGTTTCAACGACCGAACGTATTATCTGCGCATGCGGTTGAGGTCCACCAGCCACAAGATTGCCAAGATGGCCGACATCAAAAAGGAATGCGACCAGCTTGCGCACAGGGGCGCGCAACGGGTTGCGACGGGTGGACTTGTCGTCATAATCGGCTGGTGGGCGACGGTTTACAAGTTGACATTCGACACTGACCTGGGCTGGGACGTCATGGAGCCAGTGACGGTAAGTCGACGTGATCGTCCTGCAGACCTTTGGCTGACCAAAACAGTACCTTGTAGGATTGACCACATTGATCGGAGGCTACGTCTGGTTCCTATACCACAACCGCGAGGTCTCGTACCGTTCTGCCATGAACTTTACGATTTCGCGTCGCCAGTCGAAGCTGTATGCCGAGAAAGGATTTGACCTCCAGAAATGGGAATCTTTGATCGAAGAGGCCAATGCATTGAGAAAGGAGATCAAGATGGTTGCCAACGAGTACGACGTGGAGTGGGATGAGCTTGCCGACGAAAAAGAAGAAAAGGTCGCCGAGGCCTTGCGAAAGGAGAGGAAGAAGCAAAAGAAAGACAAGGATGACAAGGAGTCGGACGACTGAGCGGAGCATTGCCCGCGATATCAACAGGCACAGCATGGCGTCTGGAGTTAGTTGGTCATCGTGTATTCATACCCATCGATCAGCAGATTCGGATGGCGAGTCTTGTAGCGGTCATCGACATTTTAATAGAGGTAATAGTCGGATGGAAGAAGGACTAGTCGGGTAGAGTACCAGAAAAGGAAGAAGTTGAAGTTGTCCACATCCGAAAACCGTGAAGCGGGCGAAGCCGGAGCCGAGGCCGCTCGGTCGGCAATAGTGCTTGCCGCCGGATGGGCGAAGAAGCAGCCCGGGAGCGGCCATTTCTAAATTCCATTTCGGCATGAGGGGCATTCAGCGGGAGAGCGGATGCCGGTTGAAGTCTATAGCAAAGATGACTCGACATCGTCAACTGCCAGCGTCACCATGCCAGCAATCCGCCTCGACCTCGCGCCCCTCTCGACTCGGCTGCTCCTTTTCAATCCTCCCCTCCCAAATTCCATCGTCCTCCGCCGACTTCCCGCGCGCTGACAAACTACGCCTGAGCCTCTCATAATCATATGCTGAAAGTGGGCCCCTCCGCGATACCAAACCACAATTGCGAACGAACCCGGCGAAATACACCAGACACGGCACCGCAGAGAACGACACCTGTACCTGCTTGAAGCCGGCCGATCCTCCATCGCAATGTCGTCCACCACATACGCCGCGCCAGCCGTAAACGGCACCTCGACGCCCTCGCATCCCGCCTTCGACCCCATTCCCGATGTCATACAAGCATTCGGTACAGCCGTCTCCTGATGTGGAACCTGCAAAGAAGAGCACGCACACTAACGACGGGACGCGCAGGCCGCGGCGAGTTTGTCATCGTGCTCGACTCGCCCTCGCGCGAAAACGAAGGCGACCTGATCATCGCCGCGTCGGCGCTGACGCCGGCAAAAGCGTCCTTCATGATCCGCTACACGTCGGGCTACATTTGCGCGCCGCTGCTGCCGGCGCGCGCAAAGGCGCTCGCGCTGCCGCAGATGGTCGTCGACAACGCAGACCCGAATCGCACCGCCTACGCCGTCTCGGTCGACGCCGCGTCGCAGCACGGCATCAGCACCGGCATCAGCGCCCGAGACCGCAGCGTGACGTGCCGCCTGCTTGCCGACGCCGGCACCACCGTCGAGGACTTTAGGAGGCCCGGACACGTGTTGCCGTTGCAGGCGAGGGAGGGCGGCGTCAGGGAGAGGCGTGGTCATACTGAGGCGGCGGTCGAGCTGTGTCGGTTATCCAAGTTGCCCGAGGTCGGCGTCATTTGCGAGTTGATCACTGATGGCGAGGAAAAGGAGGGCGTGCCGGAGTTGGTTGGAGGTGGCATGATGAGGCGGGACGACTGCCTGGCATTTGGCAAGAAGTGGGGCATCAAGGTGTGCACCATTGAAGACTTGGTGCGTTATGTTGAGGATACCGAGGGCAAGCTGGAGGGCGTGGAAGCCGTCGATTACTGAAGAGGAGCATCAAAGCCATCCATCCTTGACGCCGACTTTACTGTACAGCAGACCATTGCTGCGCCAGCCATTTTTCCGACCATCTCATTCTTGTTGACTATTTTCTTGGAGTTGGGCATTCAAACATTTACTGCTGATATAGCGCAGTTACTGCTGATATAGCGCAGGAAGGAAGAAGCCGCAAAAGAGACGTGGAACTCTTCATCCGAGCAAAATTTCTGTACGAGTCGAAAAAAGGGCAAAATAGAGAACATGGGGCCTGCAAAGGAGCAAGGAATCTCTTCACCAAATCATTCCGGGAGACTTGTTTGTGACATTATGACTTTTGTCCAATGCGGTCGAGTCTCAGCCTCTTGTCTGTTTTTGGCACGCACGCACGCATGCTTGATCCTGCTGCACGTCGCGTTCGCGTGCATACGCATGTATGTATGCATGTA